TCCTGCTACAAATTGAACCTCTCTAGTCCAGCGCTCTCTGGTCCGGCATGATTTTAGTTAGCCAGATGGCCACTTATCATTAGGGATGTCAAAAAAAGCAGTTAATTAAGGTAACTACGTGACCATTCAAAATCGTAGTGGTTACACCTTGCAGGTTCCCCAGGAATGGGCTGGCAGTCAGTGTATGGCAGGAGCCTGCTCCCAGACCCACTCCCAGGGAGCTGGCTGCAATGCAGGCTCTGCAACATAAGCTTTATACTGCAGAGCCCAAAGTACGGGGCAGCAGCTGGCTCCAAGGAGCTGGAACCTGGCTGCTGGAAGCCAGCTTTAAAGCCATGCTGCTCTCAGGGAGCCAGTGTGCCCTGGAAGCTGTTTTTTAAACCAGCTCCTGGTGCATACTGGCTTTCAGCCCTTGCTCTGGGACCTAGTGTAAAATCACAGTAACCAATGAGCTCATACTTACCAATTAACCACGTAATGGTTACACTTATCATGGGGTGTAGCCAAGTTTCCGGAAATAACAAAGTTTGTTTACAGCCAGCAGTCCTGGCTCTCAATATCCTCCGTTATTCAGGTCTAATCTACCCTGCATGTCTTCTAAGAGCTCAGTGAGCAGTGGAAGCGTAGTTAATGTTGCTAAAAAACAATGATTTCCTGAGGTCCAGCAAATCTTTGGTTCAGCACCAGTCAAGTCCCAAGGGTGCTGGACTAGAGAAGTTCATCCTATAGCTCTTTAAAAAAAAGTGCACTCATGCACACAGACGTAAAACAGACAGTTTTTGGCCCCTTTGCAGGTCACCTTTTTCAACCTATACAAATTAATTCCTTCCCAACTAGTGTAGTCATATTTCCAGTTTTGTTTATTCACAATTTTTAACATAAAAAAAAGCAGAATTGATATGTTAACCTTTCTGGAGATCAGAATTGGTATCATTCTGTGTTTTAACCTGTAAATAAACTGATTCCTCAAGTATACAACCAAAATTCCAGATCTTTTAGTGGGACAATAGCCTTTCAAAAAGTGTTTGCTATTATTTCCTTTTATATTTACCCATTAATTTTTGTAGAACAGGACCACCGGCCTGTCACATTTTATATGACACAGTGCATCATGTACCCAACTGGTACCACAAAAATAATAAGCAATCACAGCACCCTCTCACTCCTTACAGAACCCTGCCCCTTGAAGATGAATTGATATGCTCACAATGAACCCTGAGGAGTCAGGAAGAGGACTGTTATGGAAAATCCCGGACTCTTTCGCATCTTCGCTATGTGACTCTACAGAGGAAGCCTCCAGAGGCTGGGAATCCGTGGTAGGGTGGCCGGATAGCTCCGGCTTTGTGCTGCCTGCTCACACAATGCTGACTGCCTCTCACCGCCGCCATGTTAGCTTCAGCCTCCATGTGCACAGCCCATGAGGGACGGAACCCCGATTAGTGAGCCCACCGCCCGCACCTAGCTAGCTCCATGTGCTTGGGGAAAGGGCCGCTACTCCATTCGTTCCCTCCCCCCGCAGAGGCCGAGCTCGCGAAGACCCCGGCCAAAGGAACAAAGGGCGGGGGAGGGGAGCTGTGGTCCTCCGGGATCTCATGAGGAGCGGAGACACCGGCCACCACAGGGAGAACGGGAACGATTAGTGAGCCCACCGCCCGCACCTAGCTAGCTCCATGTGCTTGGGGAAAGGGCCGCTACTCCATTCGTTCCCTCCCCCCGCAGAGGCCGAGCTCGCGAAGACCCCGGCCAAAGGAACAAAGGGCGGGGGAGGGGAGCTGTGGTCCTCCGGGATCTCATGAGGAGCGGAGACACCGGCCACCACAGGGAGAACGGGAAGGGGACAGTAGCGGCCCCTCCCGCCTACGACCGCGCGCGCCTAGACCCCCCGAA